ACGTACTTTTTAACATAATAATCATCCCTTTTGGCTAATTTAGTAATTTTTGTCTTGTCGGAATTTTATGAGCGCTTTTTCGTGTTGGGGTTTTTACATTATTTTAGATAGTTTTTTCACCGTGGAGTCTTTGTTTGAAAACATACCCGAAATCTATCGACACCACTAAATTTTACGTACTTTTTAACATAATAATCATCCCGTTTAGTTAATTTAATAATTTTTGTCTTGTCGTAATTTTATGAGCGCCTTTTCGTGTTGGGGTTTTTGCATTATTTTTGGATAGTTTTATCACCGTGGAGTCTTTGTTTGAAAACGTACCCGAAATCTATCGACACCACTAAATTCTACGTACTTTTTAACATAATAATCATCCCTTTTAGTTAATTTACTAAGTTTTGTCTTGTCGTAATTTTATGAGCGCGTTTTCGTGTTGGGGTTTTTACATTATTTTAGATAGTTTTTTCACCGTGAAGTCTTTGTTTGAAAACATACCCGAAATCTCTGAACACCACTAAATTCTACGTGCTTTTTAACATAATAATCATCCCTTTTAGTTAATTTACTAAGTTTTGTCTTATCGTTATTTTACGAGCGCTTTTTCGTGTTGGGGTTTTTGCATTATTTCAGATAGTTTTATCACCGTTGAGTCTTTGTTTGAAAACGTAACCGAAATCTATCGACACCACTAAATTCTACGTACTTTTTAACATAATAATCATCCCTTTTGGCTAATTTAGTAATTTTTGTCTTGTCGGAATTTTATGAGCGCTTTTTCGTGTTGGGGTTTTTGTATTATTTTAGATGTTTTGAGTGAAACATCCGGAACTTCTCCTTGTTATTTATTAGATGAATACTTACGCTTTGTCAAACAAGAAGGTGTACGTAAATTTTTTAGAGTAAGCAAAAGCAATTGATGTTGTAAGTAAACTCCAATCGGTAACAGCAAATGGACAGTCTGACAGAACATCATTTGGATTAAATGCAACTTTCTTCACATACGCTTTATACAACCAAATATCTATCAGGGGCTTTTCGGCAATAAACAAATAATTTTTTCCAATAACGTAGTTATTCATGAAATTTATTGTATCAGAAGTATTTACCACTTTTTTAGTTGAACCAACTAATGCCTTCGACAACTCTTCAGTTGGCTACAAAAAGAATTTATTTCATTAATGAATAGGTTTTACTCATTAATAAAAATGGTATAAACTACCATTTTAATCTATAATCATTCTATAATAAATATAAGCAGTAGGCACAATACTTACATCGTTTGTTATATTATCCACCGCATTCACTTGTGTACACCATGTATATCCTTTCCTTCCAATATCTCTAATATTATTGATCGGTAATGTAAAAGTGTTTAAAGTCAAAAATGCCGTTAAATTTGCAGTGTAAAATGCAGTAAGAATCATTATGAAAAACCACCATGTTGCAAATATTATTCTCAAAGAGTCTACAAAATGAGAATATGATTTAGTTTAGTTATTAACTTTATATTAACACATGGAAATTAATGTCGCATACATTTGAAAATGCGCTTCTAAATTTTATTGAATTTTTATTTATNTTTTTGTGTACGATATAAACGGAAGGAGAGAACTGTATGAAACTCCTGAAGAAAATCTGTCCTGGCAACCACGTCCAAGGAAACCAGTCAGCTTGCACGACGATATAAACGTAAATTATAACACAAGAGGATTGCAAATTAATCCAGACGCTGAAATTATTCAAATACCACAGCAAACACAACATTATCCACAACAAACTTCTGCTGACATTCGAGAAAGGTCAACGCGACCAAACTCTTACTACGACACCCCAGCTACATATTACCAAGGAAACCGACGTCAACAATCTACGTCCCCTAGAGGAACTAACCCCCCAGCCACAGCATTCATTTCTTATAAACTTCCGGGGGACGAGGAGGCTCATTTCTACTTCTTGACCCCCCAACAAACCAAACAGCAGCAGCAACAAAGGCACCATGACTTCCCATACTATTACAAAAATGACAATGATGACAATGGTCGACTGAAGTGAATGAATGTGTTCCTTAAGAACGTTGTTCGGTGTGGAATTGTATTTTCTTACTTTGCGAGAGGTTCGCTCGAGACGCTACTGTGATTTACATATTTAAGTACCAAAGAGTGAATTGGGGACAGAAGGGAACTTTTTTAAAAGGTGCGATCGAACCGTCAGGTGCATAGTTAGAATAAAATATACAACTCGTGCTAGAACAATCCATGAATGACATTATTTATGTTGAAATTTGAAAATAAAATGTGACAATAGATCAGATAATTTTATTAGTGTTTATAAAATTTTTAGAATTCACCAACCAGTGTTAATCGCTTTAAAATTATTACCTATTATATTTTTAAAGGAGAATCAAATCTGGATATTGTTATTAAAGTGAAAAGATAAATCAACTCAATAACATACACATTATGAGTTCACATGCATTAAAATTTCATTTGAAATTTAGTACAATTCTTAATTTCAGTTTTGTATTTTGTTTTCATTTTTCTGTTTGATTTTTTTGACGATAAGCCAATTTATTTAAAAAATTAGCAATTAGATGTAATGGAGCTCTTTTTATGTAGAACTTTCGATTCTACGATTCACTTAATCGTATTAACTACATTACATTACATTAAAACATGGAATGTTTTGTTTCCAATGGAAACATTACCAGCTAATCAGGAAACAAAAAAAACGGTGAAATGAAACATGCAAAAGAACTTACCGATGTCGATATCCTGCTCGGCATTTTCGTCCTTTAGTGGTTTATCAAACAGATGCAAGTAAACCTCGATAGCGCAACGTGCAGCCTTAAAATAAAATGGATGGCCGCGAAGAACGTCCTCTAGCCTCAATAGACCCATGTAAGAGCGTAGAGTCATCTTACGCATGCAGTACGTATGAAAATCAAACTGGTCCTCAATAATTTCGGTAAAATGCTGTAAAAAAAAGTTCATCAAATAAGAGGAAAATGATCACAACACATTCAATTCAACATGTAATTAACTCTACGACATTGTAGTATATTACACAATTTTTAAATACCAAAATTTTAACTTCTATTTTCCTATGAATATGAAAACGGGATTATTATTGAAAGAAAATATTTTGTTATTTATTATAAACAACCACAAGAATGTGCAAGAATCATCCCCTATTCCTAATTAGTATTTATTTCCACTATCAAGTAAGTATAAAAGCAAACAGTCTTATCAGACAAATACCATCCAAGAAATGTAAAAGAGTTTTCTTATCATTAGAATCTCAAAGAAAACAACTGCATTCGTTTTTCTAACTTAAGGAAAGTATGATAATGTTTCATACAAGCATCTATTATACTTAATTAAGCGGACTCCATGTAAACAAAATAAAAGTTGCATGTTTTCTAAATATTATCATTTTTATGTTATCGCTTCTAACAATATGTATTTACCCCATCATTAGTGACAAGGTCGTCATTTTATACATTGCCATCGTTCCAACCATCGCAAAGGCCATTAATGATGATAATGGCATTGATTTTTTTTACGTAACTTCGACATATTAGTTAAAAGCCTGTATAGACTAATAACTGTCCGCCAGATTGGCCATACAAATCGAAAGCAATATTTTTTATTTCGTTATGCTTTTTTTAGATCTCGTTAGTGAATGCTTTACTGACTGAATTTTTCATTAAGTCACAGAGATATTATCACTAAGCAATAAGTAAAGCTACTCATTAATAAAACTAATACAAAAAATAAAAGTTAACGAAAAATAGATATATGCATAATAATGAAAAAGATGCTGA